ATTGCAACAATACATAACTACAATAACTTTGTCTAGTGCTCTTATGAAAGTTTATAGCATGATTTGTGAAAAATTAACTATACTGAATGACATGGCATAGACTTCTTCATGGCTGCGTATTTCATTTCATTCTGTAACCTACTTGTTCTACAGATATGTGTGTACTGGTGTTAAATGCTACTGTTTTTGACAGCGTTGATATCGTTTATGACGGATAATATCATGATAATTTTTGCGTTTCCCTACTGAATGTTGTATTCTGTCAGCAAAAACCTGTCCATGGGCTTTTTTGATTGCTTTCAGTTTAAGTGCCAGGCGTGTGTTGCCAGATATTGATACTAAAAGAAACAAAAAAATAAAAGTAAACCGAATTTATTTCCAATCTTTTGCAAATAAGATAAGATAAAGATATTGCTGACTCTAAACTGCAACTTCCTACTTCATTAACTTTCTAAAGTGTTAAAGGTGACATATCATGAAAATCTGACTTTTCCAGGTTTTAAGTGCTATAATCAGGTCCCCGGTGCATCTACCAACCAAGGAAACATGAAAAAGATTGTGCACTCAGAAAACCGTATATCAGAAGTTTAAACTCATATGGTTTAAAACGCATGATTTCAGCGCTACAAACATGACAATCAGAACCAAAACAGATGTTTTTAGCAGGTGCCAGCTGTAATGGTGCAGGAAAAGGGGGCGGGGAACAGCAGCTCATTTGCATTTAAAGAGACAGGCACGAAAAACAGCGTGTTTCTGCTTCCACTCAAAATAGGCATTTTCAAAATGATATAATAAATGATCTGTGGAGTATTTTGAGCTGAAACTTCACAGACACATTCTGGGGACACCTGAGACTTATATTACATATTGTAAAAAGGGGCATAATATGTCTCCTTTAAATTGCGCCCGCGCCCTCACTCACAGCTCTCTCAAGCCTCGTTCACTCCGCCAGCATCTCGCAGCGATCATTTTCATACCAGGGACGCTAAACATTCTTGCAAACTGTCTAAACTGAATTATACATGTCATGCAAGCATTCATATGAGGAGTTTAACAGCAAATGAGTCATTCAAAGAACAAATTTTATTTTTGAACATGAAACATTTTACCGGTGGCCTCATAGCTGGTTACGGGCCTGATCAAGATCATGTTCCATGAAGATATTTTGTACATTTCCTACCTTAAGTATATCAAAACTTAATTTCTGATTAGTAATATGCATTGCTAAGAACTTAATTTGGACAACTTTAAAGGTGATTTTCTCAATATTTTGCACCCTCAGATTCCAGATTTTCAAATAGTTGTATCTCAGCCAAATATTGTCCTATCCTAACAAACCATACATCAATGGAAAGCTTATTTAGTCTGATGTATACATCTCAATTTAAAAAAATTGACTCTTATGACTGGTTTTGTGGTCCAGGGTCACATATATTATTATTCCATTATAGCACATTTCAAGTGACAGTGATGGGACTTTTTTCATCATATTATCTCAAACAAAAGCTCTCTCTCTCTCTCTCTCTCTCTCTCTCTCTCTCTCTCTCTGTGCTTTTACGACATGCTGGTGTGTAATCAGAGTACAATAATAGATAATAGAATCTGTACTAATACAATGGCCCCCACTGGCACAAGAATGGCGAGACGCTCGATGGACACGCCCCCGGCGGTCAGACCACACCCCCGACGCTTTTCCACGTCGCCCGCCCAACGGTTGAGGCAGGGGAGGCTGCGCGCGCTCCTGCAAAGGCCGGGAAAAAATGGCGGCGCCCGTCTTGCGAGTGTCCACCCCTCGCTGGGAGCGGATAGTCCGGCTGCTCGTGTGTCTCTCAGGGATCCTGTTATCCCTGTACGCTTTCCATGTGGAGAGGGAAAAAACCCGCGACGCCAACTACCGCGCCGTGTGCGACCTGAGCAGCTCCATCAGCTGCTCCAAAGTCTTCACGTCCAGGTGAGAGAGAGTGTCAAAACATAGCGAGTCACCTAGCTAGACAACGTCTGCAGCTGTCAGAGGCGCTTCGAGCGTTCAAAACCAGGGTTTGACCCCTTTTGGATGCTTTAGGACGTTTCAGTCTCGTTACAGAGTTCCAATGCGCTTTTGACGATCTGAAAGTGCTGTCTAGTTAGGGAGCTCCCTAGGTTTTGACACACAGCCGGAGAGTCGCTCCGGGCCGCTGACTGATTGAAAAGGTGATAAAATATAATATCCGTCTCACATTTATAGTCTTTTCTAGAAACGCCTTTTGGGTTGACACAAATAGAGACATAAATATGAATTAAATGACGTAATTTTAAAGCTGCTTTTGTCTTGTGATCAGAAACACAGTGCGATAGCCGCTAATGCTAACAGTGCTAATGAGTGAATGAGCTCCATATCAGTGCGCTCAATGCCGTATACTAATATAATTTCATGTTCATTTATTTTCTAATGTACTGGACTTGATTGCGGTCTTGAGGTGAAATCAAAGCCACTCATTTAGTAGCATCTTCAGCTGACAGCACATCCCTTATGTGAGTACAACAGGCTGTTTCATACCTGTCAGATTATTTAGTTTTCTTCGTGTTTTGAATATGAAATTTAACAGACCCTTTAAATGCAGGAGTTTAATCGTGTTATTGATGTATGAGGCTGAGAGGTGAGCTGGACAAGGGAATTCATTGAGTTTGATCAGGTTTCAACTTTGTTTTAGTAACCTTTGAAATCAGAGTGATTTGTTTGAGACGTCAGTTCCTGATTTTATTACTGAAGGATCCACCCTTACACATCATCAAACCATTAATAGAGTAATTATGTAATTATGTTTAATGCTCAAATGATCCTGGTAATATTTAGTTGGTATTTAGAATATATATATATATACACACACACACACACACGTTTGTGTTTAAATACATATTCATACACTAAATGTTAATTTAAATGTATATACTTAGTGAATATATGTAGTTAATTTACTGTACTTAATTTAATGTGTATATGTATTTATATATATTCATATGCACACACTATATATATATATATATATATATATGTGTGCCTTTTTTATATATTTATATACACCAAATATATTAAAATATATATATATTTTACTTATATTATACACTATATATTAACTAATATGTGGACTATATACACTAAATGTTCATTTAAATGTATAAAGCTAGTGAATATATTCAGTTAATGTAGTGTAATTAATTTATAATAATGTAAACAAACAATAATAAAGGTCCAGTTTCTGGATTGCTTTTGTTTATTAAATAACTTTTTCCCTCTCTTGATTGAGCAATAACAAGACCACTTCTTTCATGCAGCTTGTTGTTGAATTAAAGCGCTTAGAGGGGAAAAAGATGCTGATATGTTTTTCTGGACAGTCATGTGAAGTTCACTCACTTTCAGGAGAACTTAATTTGAAGTAACGCTGATGGAAAACAAATCACATGCTTACTGAGATCTTATCAGAGTAGATCAGCTGTCCTAAGGGATGATTTCTGATGTTTTTATGCAATTCTGTCTGTCGCATATTGAGATGACATGATACAGACGGATGTGTCTTGCAGATCTGGTCTAGAGACTCCCACTTTATCTGTGAATCTGTAGATGTGCCCACTTATCATGAAATAAATAGGCCAGCATCATATATCACGCTCACTTATGTCATTACCATCACGTAGATAAAGAGGCTATGCGTTTGCATGTTTGAGTCTATCGAATTGCTTCAGAAAGCTGCTGATTGTGTTGTTTGCTCACAGCAGGCTGTCTGCAGGGAAAACAACCAAACTTAACTCCAGCCGGGTGAAGGTTTTCAGGAGCATTACATAATCAGGCTTAAGGTCTCGCTCTTAAAGGGAACCAACTTTTATAAGACTTTTCCGTGCAGCCGAACCGACTTCAGATAATCAGACAGCTTGAGGTGTTTGAGATCTTTTGCTATGGGTTTTGCCTCTAATTCGGTTGTGAACGGTCTCTCCATTGGGAAAGATTTCTGAGTGTTTTCTCAGAGCCACACAGCAGAAATATGCGACAACAGCCAATCAGCGTGCACGTCACAGTACAGAGTCCATTTCCTACCGCACTTTGCGAAGCTAACTCGACACGACGACGACAAAAAAATAAATAAAAAAAATGAGTGGAAGCGGCGACGAAAGTGAAACTAACCTCGAGTTATTATCTAAAGATGATGAAATTGTGGACAAAAAAGGTAGCACGAATTCCGTTATATGGAAGTGGTTTGGCTATCTGAAAAGTGACGAGGCGCAGATTAAAACGATCTGTAAAATATGTCGTCAGTTTGTGAAAACCAAGACTGGCAACACAACCAACCTATTCCATCACCTAAAGAAGTATCACCTAAACGACCACACCGAGAGCATGAAAATGCGGGTCGATGCTACTCCGTCAACAAGCAGGGCTAGCAGCGTGGCTGTACCGAAGCAAAAATCGATCGTGTCCCCCTTACCCCCTATGAAAAGAGTTCCAAAAGGAGCAAGGACATAACCAGGGCCGTTTCTTACTTTCTAGCGAAAGAAATGATGCCCCTAAGCACAGTGGAACAAGACGGGTTTAGGAAATTAGTTAAAGTGCTTGACTGCCGGTACGAACTCCCTGGCAGAAAATACTTTTCCAAAACCGCACTGCCTCAGCTATATGAAGAGTGCTGCGAAAAGCTGGAAAAGAATCTAAGGAAAGTGAGATTTTTTGCCACTACCTCCGACCTATGGTCGAGCCGGACATCCGAGCCATATATAAGCCTCACCATTCATTACATTGACGAGGAGTGGGGTCTGCAATCAAGATGCTTGCAAACTGCATATTTTCCGGACGACCATACTGCGGAAATACTTTCTGCGGGTCTGGAGGATGCACTCGCATCTTGGGGCCTTAGCGAGGACCGCCAGGTGTGCATTACAACGGACAACGGCGCAAACATCGTCAAGGCTGTCTCACTTAAAAACTGGACCCGTCTGCAGTGTTTTGGTCACCGGCTACATCTAGCCATTGGTAAGTTAAGCATCTAAAAAATATGGGAAAAATTTATCGAGATTACATTTTTGCCATATCGCCCAGCCCTATGTAGCACACATATGTTTTCTGAGCAGAAATGCTTTCATTGGGAATGCTGGGACATATGGTGGAGATCGGGCTTGACCTCAGGAGTTTGGCAGCATTAAATCTTTGTCAAATCCATTGGCAGGAAGTTATGAAACGGAAGCTGCTCTCCAGTGTTGGGTTACACACCTTTTTCCTCTTCAGGGTTAGCTAATAGAAAAGGTTTCAGGCTTTTCAAACACTTAGAGACTGATGTAGGAGTCAGATTCCAGCTCTATATGAACCGGAATCCAGTCATTGCGTTCAAGTTTACTCATAACATTATAAATGGTGTTGCAAGCAATGGATTGAATGTTTAGCAAATGAACCATAATTGTCCATTTAGTTCTATATTTTACTGTTTAATGCTGAATTGTGTCCAGTTTTGTGATTGTCAGCCATAATTAAGGCCCAAAAAATGCCTTTTAAGATACTTTGTTTTGGCAGATTTCTTTGCAGAAAATGCATTATGAGCTCTGTCAGTAAAAAAAATGAATGCAAGGTGATTGACAAGAGAAATGTTAGTTATATACTATGTTATTTTAAAATAGAAAAATATCAAACGTTAATGTAATTAACATGCAGTATTTTATGTGTGCTGTTTATGTACATATGCTGGAATTGGATGTGACTGGAAACCACCACATTTCTCCTTTGTTAGTATAATTTCAAACAATTTGGGTCAGAAATCTCCGTTCGCACTGATAAAAGGAAACTGTGCTTTTTATATGCTGCTGTCTTGATTAGTGTTGTCACTGTACCAAAATTTCAGTATTCGGTACCGATACCAGTGAAAAGTCTTGATCATTGTATGATTTGATTTTAGGCCAAATATTCTGTCATAATAATGTGCTTGTATTCCCTCGAGAAACCCAGAGCGCTGACACATGATATTAGTATTTATTTTTAGTTCCAGTCTCTCATGTTGTTTGATTTCTGCTACTTTACTGTTTCTCTCTGTTTGTGTTTTCATCTTTTCTGTAGATGGGGTCGAGGATTTGGACTGTTGGGAACCATTTTTGGGAACGACAGTGCAGTAAACCAGCCAAACAGTGTCTATGGAATCTTGTTTTATATCCTTCAGCTGTTACTAGGTAAGAACACCATCAACCGCATTGATCTGCAGATTATGACATTTTTACAATAACAGGTTCTTTGTATGGATGCAACAGTACAGAAAGTATGGCAGATATAAATATCAATTTATGGCCAAAATCTTGATATTACAAGTCCGATGAATGGCTTTGGTCATTGTGTGCATAATTTTTTTACTGTCTATTTTGCACCAAGTTCAACTTCCATTTTATTTCCGCTTGTGATTTTCTCAAATGCTTGATTTTCTATATCGTTGCAAAATGTGAACTTTGAGACGATTTGAATTGTTATAAGCTCTGTACTAGAGCCCGACCGATATGGGTTTTTTGGGGCCGATACCGATATTAGGGAGTAAAAAAAGGCTGATATCGATATATCGGCCGATATTCTTTGTGTATATTATAGTACAGTACCAGTCAAAAGTTTGGACACTTTCCCATTCGTGTGTCCAAACATTTGACTGATACTATATATAGAATACAGTATATACATAAACAGAATATATAATATCGGCAAAACGATATATCGGTCGGGCTCTACTCTGTACAAATAAATTTACCTTGAAGATTTTGGCTTTCGACAATTATGAAAACTGATAATTGAGTTACAGTTCAGATAAAATGATTGTTTAGTAGTTTTCAGCAGGTTGTGAAAGTGCACTACAAGTTAGTTGATCTTAATTATTTTGATTTCATGCATTTTAGTTTTATTGTTTTTATATTATTTATTTAAAATATATTGAATTATTATTTGTTTTTATGTTTCTCAGTTATTATTTATATATAGAATTATATTTAAAGTTCACATAAATCTATTTATTATTTTTTTTGTTTGAAAATTCAGTAAATGGGTGATGTTAGCAAAGTACCTGAATAATGGTGTTAAATAATCCTGATCTCAATAAGCTTGATTATGATTTTTGCGTAACACAAGAACACACATGGTGTCTACAGCCTCTCAATCTACATGTACTACTGTGGGAATTGTTAAAACTGTTAGCTGATATAATTTCTGTCTCCATCTAGGTTTATTTGTGAAACATTTGATAGTTCACATTAATTTGTGCAGTGTCTGCCATTAGCCAGAGATGAATATTAACACACATTATTTCCTGAGATGGATACTGTAAGGGATGTGTGAGCGTGTCCGGTTATAGTAGGAACATTACTGTCTGTAATCTAAAGCGGTCTCACAGGCCTCTGAATTATTACCCTCACTTGTTCTTGTCTGTCATCGCTGACGGCTGAAATCTCTTAGCATTTCAGTGCGATAAGGCACAGGTCAAACATTCACAACCTTAGCTTAACCCCATGAATCTCGTGTCATGTGCGTTTCTTCTCCGGACAGCGTTTGAGTTACTGCTGTATCAGTTTCTCTTATGTTAGTCATTCCCTTTGTCTGGGTTATTACTGTTAAATAAAACTATACTAAAAACTTTTTTTCCCAATTGAAATAAAGCTAAAATAAAATATAAATATTAGATGAAAAACAAGCTAAATGAAGATTAGAAACATTGTCTTGTCAACTAAATTGAAGCACTAGAATTACTAACTGGAAAAAAAAAAAATCACTAAACGGACACTGAAATAAATATAAAGTAATCCTAAATAGAAAAATTAAAATGACAAAAACACATAAAGAGTACTAATAATTCAACTGTATTTAAAATAAAAACTGAAAATATGAAAATAAACACTAATTCAACATACTAATAAAAACTAGTATAGCATTTATAAATTATGATTTTTCTAAGTTTTTAAAAAATATATTTTTTATTATTTATTACTATTTTTAAAGTACTATATTATAGTAATTACAATATAGTAAATATAATTGGTAAAATCCCACAATTAAAACATCCTAACACATTACAGTAATGTAAATTTGGGGAGAAAATATGCTTAATTGTCATGTAAATGATGGGGATGATAGTAAAATTATCTTTTTGTTTTTGATGAAAGGTAATACAGAAATAACTACAACCTGAAATGGCATAAATCTTTAATAGTCCTGATAATTCAGCACATTACTTTCAATGCTTATTTCTGTAATGCTAATCAAATATTTTGCTTAAATGTTGAAGCATTTATAAATAATACTAGCATTTGATGTACTACTTTTATTCTGATTTAAATGAAAATTATTTTATTATTATTATTAGTAGTAGTAGTAGTAATAGAAGTAGCAGTAGTTTTGAAACTACTGTGTTACAGAAATGAGAATTTCACCTTTGGGGGAAATGTGCTTATTTGTCATGAAAATGACAAAAGAAAAAAAAATCTAAATAAAAATGTAGAGGAACTAGTCAACCTCACTAATAGGTTTGACTAGTCGACCATCCTGACCCATTCCTGCACGCATGTCTGTCTCATAATTTCCTTGCTGACTCAAGTTCTCCTGCATGTTTGGCTCTGCTGATCTGTTCTCAGGTTCATTGTGCTTCTAAAACTGGACACAGTCAAGTCTTTCTTCACACTATTGCAGCACATTTGCATAATGCTAGTGTGCAGTTCGCTCTCGGAGTGATGGACTTCTTCGCTAATTTCCTTATAGATGCGTGAATGAATGGACAGGCTGTTGACTCAGTTACTCGAATGGCTCTGGTCTTTCATAAACCTAGTGAGCTGCCTTCTAAGGTGGCAATTTAAGATGTCATTGTTGCACTTCTAATGTGATATGGCAAATAAGATCATATGGTGTCAGTCCAAAATTCTGTGTTTTTCTGGATTCAGTTTTAAGCTAAGATACTACAGACAAAACCATAGTTTTTTTTCATACACTGGTCAATTTTGAGATTTTGCTTCCATAACTTGACGTCTTTCATACTAGTGGACATCCAACGTAAACATCCAAAATACACATTTAAGTGTTTATTTCATTACACATAATAAGGTTTTTTACAATTACAATACCTATCTTTAAAAAGTGTTTTCTCTACTTCAGCTGCACTTACATACACCAAAACTTACAGCTTTAATCCTATCTATATTCTGAAGGTTGTTATAGAAGGGTTTGTTTATATATCATTCAACTGGTTTTCTTATTGAACTTTACTTATTTGCGTCTGTAGATTTTAATTCCAGTACATATCTTTAGACTGTCAGTTTGTTTCTCCACTTCAGCAGCACTTACATACACCAAACTTAACAGTTTTATTCCTATCTAAATACTGAAGGTTTTTACTGAGGGGTTTGTTTATATTTCATTCACACTGATTTATGTAACATTTTATTCCTTAAAAACATTTTTTAACTAAATGAGACCAGAATTCTGAACCTGAGTTTATACAATGTTCAGACTTCTATTCTGGAAATGTATTCAAATTAGTGCATCTTTAATTATACGATGCCTCATTTGCAAATTTAAGCATAACATTTCAGAAAAACTTGTAATGCAAAACAGTTTGTTTAATGTACTGTGATTAATCAACTGGGAAAGTATGGTGTTATCTATTAGTTAAACTTACCCTGTTCACCTTTAATGATTTAATACTTTAACAGTAATAGAACCCTATGAAATCTGTATATATATATATATATATGTGTGTGTGTATATATATGTGTATATGTATATATATATATATATATATATATATATATATATATATATATATGTGTGTGTGTATAGTATGGAACATAAAAGAAGATAATTCGAGAAACATCTCAGTATTTCTTGTTCATGCAATGAAATTCACTAGTAACCAAAACAGCTTAGTTACCAACAGTATTCAAAATACCTTCTTTTATGTGCAAAAGAAAGTAAGTCATTCAGGTTTGAAACAACATGAGGGTGAGTAAATGATGACGAATTTATTTATTTATTTTTGGTGAATATCCCTTTAATGTTTTTGTTTGTTTGTTTTTTTAATAAATGAAATGATACTCTAAAGAAGAAACTAAAAAACTACCAGCAGGTGGCGGTAAATGTCTTTGAGTCGATTCGTTCAAATGGCTGATTCATTCAGGAATTCAGTAAACAGCTTTCTCTATGAATGGGCTACTGAATCATCCTTCCATTTAATTTAGACGGGGTCTTTAAAGGCTGCTGTCTGTGCAGACCACACTAGGTTTTGGAACAGATCCCTCCTGTCTAGCCTTGAACCAATAGACACTTGAAGATGTTTTTAATTTCTGAAACCTTGCCGTATCCCTCATTTATGTTATTTATCTCCATGACCCGAATCTCAGATAGTTCTGTCCTTGTCTGCACTGTTATGTGTGTGTGATCCGCTTGTCGTGCTCTGCCCTAATGAAATTTCATGACTATGAATAGCAAGACTGTGCCAGCGTGTGTTGAATGCCCTCTGTTCTGGAGAAATGCTCCCTTTTCTGAAGGGCTCGAGTGAGTGATGAGTAGGGGAAAGGTCAAGCCTCAGATGTGCCCCGCCCCCTTACAAACCACACCCACTTTAAAATGCATAAACTCTGTCTAAAGCACCTGCCTTTTAAAGCAGCATCCTAACTGCAAGTGTAACCTGGATTTGGAACACTACATAGGCAGCATCTCTCTGTGCTATAGAAATAGAAATGGCCTGTGGCAATATAGGTGTCATTCTACAGTATTCATTGTTTTGCCATTATTCAGTGACAAGTGAATGACAAACAGTGAAGGAGTTGAGTAGGTTTTGGTTGGATTTTCTTGTTATACACTAGAAAATCTGAATTTCAGAGTGATTTATAATACGTAGTTCTAACTGTAACTGTCTAAATCTCATTTGGCTATGATTCAACAGGTAAAGAAATCTATTTTAAATAAGAAATAATATACTGGGCGTTAGGGCTGTCAAAAAAAATTCAAATTTCGAATATTCGTCGAATTTAAAATATGGAGATGCGAAACAATTCTGCTGTGGCTTTAGAGGTAATATTTTCGTTGGCAAAATTGAACAAAACGCACAATATTCTGTTTAAATTTTGCACAATATTAACTTCTTATTTACTGAACTGTTGTTAGCCTATCAGCCACTAGATGCGGCGCTGCTGCGTTGTTCAATCAAAATATAGCGTAAAAAGAGAACATAGAACATCAGAAGATCTTGTTTACATCAAAACT